TTTAAAGCTGTGTGCCCTTTATGGAATAAAACAAGGGCACTGTCATGCATCAAAGAGACTCTTTACAAGTCAATACTTCAGCGGTGACCGCAAATTTAAGTTATGAAAATTAACGATGTTTATGTTTATACACACTACAGTTTGCGTTAATAAAATTCAATTGATTATGAAAGACGCAAGAACTTTAGAGAATGCATATTCTGTACAGATAATATTGAAAAGGATCACATTTATGCATCTTCTAATTCATTTACATCGTGTAAGAAATTAAATATCACACCGTAATAATGCAACAATAAAACCATTTCAATTCTGTATTTAACACGTTGCAAAATGAACAAATCTCTCAGTGTGTCGAAGATACAGCAGGCTGCGAGTACAGTGCAGCTAAGTTTGAAGGAAATTCAAATGTCTGATTCAGTTGGCAGCCTTCCCTTAGCATGTTCAGCCTGTGAAATGAAATGTATGCAAATGCAAATTGTGTTGCCCTCTATAACCACCCATTCATTCCAACTCTACACTGCTTTCCACATCCATGGCCCAAGCACAGGCCTTTCAGACTTCAAAGTGTCCATTTCCTAAAGCTGAATCCACGTAGGCTGTTTAATTTCCTATTCACCGACTTTGCCAGGTTGCGTTTGTCTGAGCCCCGGTCGGCGCGGTTTACACAAATATACGGGTGCGCCCACTTAAACGTTCAGATTTCGGAGCTTTGCACTCCAGCAAAAGATGTTTGGGTTTGAGTAGCAGACAAGAGTGAGTTTCACCATCGATGCATACTGTATGCGCCCACGATTGGAGCGCAATGCAAGAGACAATAAGTCAGCTTACCAGTGCTCAAATATCCACATGAGCCTAATGCGTTTTGCAGTCCACCGACACTGTATTAGTGTGTGCAGCAGGAGCAGCAAAAAAGCCATTGCAAATCAATCGTAAAGTTATTTCAGTGGCTCTCACACCATATCTGCTTCCTCAAGACGAGCAATGCTGGTTGGGAGTCTATCCATTTGCCAATGTACCAAGCTTGAGCACATCAAGGGTACGACTTGTGTCTCGTTAGGCCGAAGTTTCTACTAAAGGCACATTTCCCCCATTTAGTAAAATTCCAAATTGTAATTATATAGTATATTATTTTGACCAGGCAAAATGTTTCCAATATTTCAATTAGATAATCCCTTGAGATGAAACATCTAGTTCGCAAAGGTGTCTGGGTTGTCCAATTGACACATACACAACAGTTTGATATCTAGGTTAGATATTTAATTTGCAGAGTGATATTTCATAGAATTCACATGCTATGATTGTACCTCAATAAGAGTCAGGATATTATGCATAAAATAAAAATGTTTACAACCTCGGGAGCAATATATTGTTGCTTGTTATTTGACACAACTAAAATACGTGAAAATATCCTTTAAAACATTGTATTATGGTAATAGTGTACCAGGTACTTTGCAAACACAATTGTTGGGCGATATTGTCCTGGTGGTGCATGTTGTAATTTGTCCTCCCCATGTGTGCTATACTGAAATTTAATCAAATATTACAAAAAATACGTAATTCTCAAACATTAACATGCACACTATCTAGATCTCAGTAATAATAACTATGATGCAACACTTGGTCTCATTAATTATATCTTCTGAGCGTTGAAAATGAAATTATGCATTTAACAGCTTGCAATTCAAAACAAATTGCACGTAAGAAAGAGAATACTAGCAGATTGCCTAGCAATTGAGATTAAATCTTCTATATAAAAAGCACGTTGCTGTAGTATATAGCAAATAAGTGCAGTGTTGCTGTGTGATATGCTTCACTTGCGGTTATATATGGTAATATTAAATATGAACATTACATTATTTAAAGGACATTTCAGCACGATAGCATGTATGTAACCTGCGTGGTTTTTTTTACTTTGCAGTATAGTGAAGTGTTAGAAAACCAATCAGGGGTCCTTAATAAGGTCGTGTTAATTCCTCAAAAAGTCACCTATATTTGAATATTTCACAATATTCTCAGCTCTCATGTCGATAACTTTGTGTGTGTACAATTGTACACTGGCATCGCTATGATTGGATTTGGTTAATAAATAACTGGGAGTGAATCCCAATTATTTGCAAATCAATTTTCATCATCCATTTATGAAACTCGTGTGTGATAGAGAACACTTGCCTGAGGTCTGGCTTTCATGAATATCCATAGTTAACACATACACACATCATAATGGGCTCTGCACACAAGGAAGAAAACGTGATGCTGTGCCAAATTGGAATTTGGCACAAACATTCTTTTGACAGCCTGCAGCAGCTTATGTACAAAATCAATATGGAGTTTGAAAAAGAAAAATCTGCAATCTGCAGTTGCCTCAGATATATGGCAATTCATATATTGATATAGGATGACATAAAAGGCGAAATGATATTCCACTTCTAGGGGATTTTTTACACGATTACTTGTTCTTCGAATATGCTGCATTATACGTACGCAGCATTAAACGTGGAATATTTGCTGTGACGTACAGCGTGTTTATTTTTTTTGAAAACGCAAGCATTTGGGAAACTCATGCATGTATCAACCAGTCCCTTTGTGTCTTCTACAGTGTCAAGCTCTCTTTAGAGTCGCATGTAAATACTGCGGGAATGAGAAATTCCATTACAATTCCACGGCAGTGCAGTGGATAGCATACACAAAGAATACTTTTTTTTTGTTTTAAGAGGGCTCACCCTACATCAAGTACGCTCTTTCGTTTAGAACATTACAAATCCAATAGAGCTCTCAAACTCAAAAATACTTGCACCTTTCTCCACTCATTATGCTCTACAGTTAAATTGCAGAACTAAAGGAGGTAAACGTAGATGAAGGGTATATTCATTTTAGATGACGAAAAACGCCTTGCCATTTAAAAAAAAAGAGTGAAATAATATTATGAATTTATTTTGTGTATTACATGTATCCCCACCTCTGTACTCTACCGTGATTTTAGTTCACTTCATTTAATAACATTACTCTATTATAAACACATTTTAATGTACCATTCATATTGAATATAGAAAGCAATATTGGTCATTAATAATACATATTTACGGAACTGTCAATCCTTTGCTGAATAAGTGCCTCCCCGTGCTGTGAGTCAAGGGGTTTGTTTGACCGTACTTCACCGCGTTGGCTCGTGTGGGTTGGTGAGAGGGAGCAGGGACCACTGTGCTACCACCATATCCCCAGTGCTGATCTTAAATAAATGCAAATATAAAACAGCCACTATATTTTGGAATTTACAATTATTATAGATCGATTTTTAGACCAGGCTCAAAGCTCACCTGAGCCGTTTAGACTGAGGTCACAGCTCGTCTGAGCCCGTTATTCTGAGGTCAGCTAACTGTGCTTACGATAAATCATACTATTAAAATATGACAAGATTTTAATAAAAAAATTGTTATAATATTGTTTACAATTTTTTTTATGAAGTGCATGGAGCATGCCGAAGGGTTTATGTAATTTGTTGTCATAGATTAAAATAATAAATAGATTAGGCATTATTTCACAAGCTATGTTGTCAGCATTTTTGAGGGCCTTACATTACATGTGTTTATTATTTACATATTAAGAATGATGAACTTATATATTTTCCTTCATTTATGCTAATTTTGTAGAATGCAATATATAGCAGTGCCTGATTTTTGTCAAATATATTTACTGGAGTAACTTGTGAATGTATGTCCTGTTCCTGTCGTCTGAGCATCAATCTGTGCATCACAGCAATTTTGTTTAATACAATTCTCCTGCTTTCTCGTCTGGCGCAGACCCAGGGTAATTATAACACTATTAGGCTTGAGAAGATCATGGAATATCTTGGGGCTTCGTTCGGAAAGACTGACAGCATAGGTCACAAAACATGACCCTTTCCAATCCCAGATGAAAAGAGAATTGAAATTAATGAGATTCTCTACACACTCTAAGGAAAATCAGAGCAAATTAAAGTCCCACTACATGACTACTACATAATGCTTCAATGTGATGAAAGCCAATGCCTAATTTAAACAAAATTATGCATTTCAAAACGGATGCGTCAATATTATCTTACGTAGCAATCATTTGATCCTTTACGGCTATACGCAGTACTGTATATGGCATAATTTAATTAGTAGTAAACACTTTTAAACACTCAAATACAACATCCTCTTCATACCTCCATGTTAATATGAGCTCGATGGAAATGCCTACATTCATAAAATGGTACAAGACATGCCTATCGTATCCAGTAAAGGACAGAATGCACTACTTTCTTTTAAAATCTCGCTATTTTAAATCAAAACGTTGCATTTATTACAATACACACAACTGCCAAACACCCGCTGTACTTTCAGTGAAAACTGAGAAAAATTCATCTGAGAAGCACTGGTAACAATATAAAAAAATGGTTAGTCAGATTACATAAATATGAATCTGTCGTGAAACCCGCCACCAAACGACATAGCCAATTAGTAAGGTTTGTCACGTAAACAGAACATGCCAATTCGTTACTCTTCAACACACCGGTATGCTGTACTAGTAACTAATTGGCATGTTCTGTTTACGTGACAAACATTTCTAATTGGCTGCGTCGGGTGGCGGCGGGTTTAACAACACATTTATATATCTACGCGATCTACCCAAAAAAACCCTTGTATTATGTATATTGGTCACGAAAGCCTACTAAGTGTTAAACTGAGATTACATAATTGTGTGGGTTGTTTTTTTTTCATGCCCACACTTGTAGCACCGCCACTCTTGCCCCCCCCGTCCTCTCCTCCTCCTCCTCGACACGCAAAAGGATGCATTCAAATTGAAAAGCCTTCTGGAGAGAGTGAGGCCTACTGCAGTCGTTGCCATGGTTTAAGCTTTTGGCCCGAGTTTGATTGAGGGGCACCTCTTCGCAGCACCGCTCTCTGAAGTTTTTTTGCGACGCTCCAAGATGTTTCTTTTTTAAAAAAAAATTCTCGCTCTCCTCTCCTCCTTGTTAGGTTGCTGAGCTGACAGTTTGAATTGGAAATGACTCAGTGAGCTTGGAATTAAAGAGCCACGCTGAAATTGAATGTTTTTTTCTAATCACAAAAAAAACACGGAATAACCACCCAGGACTATCATCTCATAAGAGACGCAGCTGCTCTGACCGATCACTTCCAGAGTAACTGGCTCCAAGCATTGACCTTGTAGTAAGGCAGTCAGTCAAGTTAATACATCTTCCAAGTACACACACACATCACAGGCAAATAGTGGGAACTACAGCAGTGGACATCAGCAGCAGTGCCCCCGCTGATAAAGTGACAAGTCCCAGCAAAGGCACGTTTATTTTCATTCCTCACTGCCTGCGAGTAAACAATCAGCCTTGCTTTGTGCTTGATCGCTGCCGTGACATCGGCCAACATAGCACGGAGGTCAGGTTGCTCTCACTCATTCGCGGGGAGACAAAGGCAATGTGATGTTGGCCGTGTCTGCCAGAACCATGATAAGGGTTTTTTTTTTGCTGATTAATCAAATGACAAACAAATGTACAATATAATGCTGGCCTTGGCAAAAATTATGTGCCAGGTGGGTTTTTTATATATAAAATAACAATGTTAAAATGCTGCACTTTGCTTAGGAAACGTTTTAGTTTAATTATACTCAAATAAAATGGAACATTGGCAGCATGGTTAATACTCGACTTAACCAGACCAAGGATGTTGGTCCAAGATTCCAAACAATCCCAGTTAAACATATATAATAATGACTTTACATCCTCATTTCCAGGCTTGGGATCAATTGACTTCATAACACGTGCTTATTATTTGACTCTGAGTGTCAAAGTGGCTGGATATAGCACTGTGTGTTTTCATCATCATGAAGTTGCCTCGTAAACTGCTTGCCCCAAGATGGCCTCTCGAGCCACTGGCAGAATGCGAAAAGAAAATTATCTGTTGCTTAAATGAGTTGAATGCTTGTGGCAAGTACAGCAGACACCGACATGCTTTGAATGAACTTTTTTTTTTTACCCAACCCTTCGAAGTCTGCATGCTGACAATTACATTATTTAAATTAACTCACTAAAAAACTAATTTTGAAGTAATGTTTGAAAAATCGTGATAAAAAAAGGATTACAAGTCTTACCCAGTTTAGTATAAATATACACAATCTTCATAATAATGTAACATTTTGAGAAGAATTGTAAGTAGGCTCATCAGGATTTCTTTTTTTTATTTAACATTGTAGTAAGGATATTTGTTGCATATTTTAAGCTTTACATTGATCAAATACAGTACAATGTCCAGAATTTGAAAGACGAAAAGTGCTGTTTATTTATCCTGGCAATCAGCACTCGTTTCTTTATTCCCCGCAGGCAACAGCCAGTCTGCCTAGTCTTCCCTCTAAAGAGCACTTTTACCATGACCTTTGACTCTGGTCGCATGACCCACGCCCACCAAGGATGGGGTCAGAAAAGTCAGCGGTGACAAGATGCATGAGGAATGACTTTGGGATGTCATCCATGATTACATTTTGCTTGTCAAAGCTGAAAACCAATTGCGTCAGGACAATGTGCTGATCAACACATGGCTGTCTTCTTGCTCATAACACCACGCATTGCTTTGTTTACACCTCTGTTTCCAGTCAGGTGTGATGGCATAGAGTAAAATGTCAACGATTTTTGTCACTGAGGCTGAAGTACATGCTAACAAAGTTATAGCAATGCTCTGAAAAAGGACCAATATCTGAAACAGTAGCCCGTTACTTTATACAGGTATAAAACTGTGTATTACTACACGCATCAGTGTATAATATTTTTTATTGTCATGGTGGTAAAGTTGCCTATGATAAAATGATAAATACAATGCAATAGTTGTGTTAAAATCATTGTACTAATAGTTGTAACTTACAATTGAATAAATCACACCAATGAATTATATGTTTAACAAGGAATCCCTACTAGGTCTCATGATTAGTTTCAGCAGGGTCCTTCCAAGTTTGTGCAGTAGTGAGCAATGTTGCTTTGTGAGATCCCGGATATTTTTTCAGCAATGGAATTTGAGGAATAACCAGTTGCAGCGTATGTTTGTATAGCTTTGTCAGAAAACCAGAGAACCTGTAGGAAACCCATGTGGAACAGGGAGAGGACATATAAACGCCACACAAAAAAAGTTACCGAATCTGGAATCAAACTCAGTCACTTCTTCCTACGAGGCACAAGTTTAACCACTGTGCGCCCAAATAACCAATTCTGGCCAATACAATTAGGACTACTTGGTGGAAAGTCAAAAGTGGTTGTCCTATTGAAACACTGGCTCTCACCATGGGAATGTGGAATTACTGCTATTGATTCAAGACCACCAACAGAGAAGAGAGCCACTCCTTTGTTCATTTGAAGAGACACTTTCACTTGACTATGCCAAGTGTCTGTAACACCTGTCTGCATATCACAAGATGCCCTTTTGGGGCACCACCTTCAAAACCACTTATTGTTACACAATGTGCGTGCCGTAATGTGTGGTGAAATGGAGAGAAAGATATTTCAGCCGGGTAGGTTGGCAAAGAAGTTGTGGAGGAAGGGTTAGGAGAGGTGGTTAAGTGACAAGAGGGGGTTAAAAAAAAGTTATCTGAGTTTCTTGCGCTTACTGTACTCGATATGGATTTATTCACATTACATTTTATTTTTGTATCGCACTATGGCTTAAAAGCAATATGAATGTCAGTTTAACACTTAGCATCATAAAAAAAATCATGTTTTTTTATTGATTAGATTTGTGTTTAAAAAAAGTTTTGCTTATAAAATTCACCATGCATTGATAGGTTTACGCTAAGGGAGTTCTTTCAGAGGAATGTTTCTGTTTTAAAGTTACTATGAAGTTCTAAACTAAATATTTGTCACTTTTGATATTAAATAAATTGGCAAGCATACATTTATTGAAACAAAACCTAAATGATCAGTGATTAAATATTGAACAAATGTTGCAACCAATCTAAAGTATCATATCATAAAGTGATGTGAAAAGATACACTTCAACTGTACATGTGGTCAAGTAATGGCAATACATGATGCAGCCTTTTAAAATATGTTTATACAGAACGTTCTCAAACCACATAATGCGAACTATGTCGCATTACTGCATTCCAAATTATATTATGTAAATATACCTGATATCCCAAGGATATGTCGTTCCACAAAGTCTCAATAATATGCATTTGAAAACGATAAGATAATTCAACAAATTAAATGTAGTCGCATCACGTTAAATACTGCATGTTTTTCAAATATACTTTAAGTCGTTGGGTTGTGCAGAGCTTTCATTCTCTTTAAATATGTGGGTGCATTGAAATGGTTGGTCAGGATGCACATCTGCAATAAAAACATTGTGTACAGCATTATCTATTCTTAGGGTTGAGGGTTGGGCAGAAGGAACATCTCTCTCTCTCTCTTGGCCCATTCACCCACCATACAGCAACCTTTCATTCATCTTTCATCCTCCCCAACTTCAACACGATTAGCAGATTACATGGTTTACATTTAAGCAATTTAATATCCTTGGTTACCAGTAATAGTTATTTATTATACAGTCAAAGCAATGGACCTTACACCTTTTCATATTGTTAATATGGTATCTCACATACCACCTACTGTAGACTGTTTGCAAACAAACGAATATTGACACAGTACAGAACAAAAACAATTTACATTTATATTGTCTATATGGAACTGCATTTCAAGAAGCTTTACATGAGTGAGGAAGGTGGGGGAGGGGGTGTAATGGCAGGGAAAACATGGAAAGGAGGAGTGAGAGAGAGAGAGCAATGACACTCAGGGGCCAGAACCAATGACAAAAACAAGCTTCAGACAACCATGGCAGTCAGGGCAGCACCACTGAGTAACAGGGCAGCCTCAGCGCGACCTGATGCCCGTCACCAATGAGGCAGCCTCTTACAATCCATTACGCCTGTGGACAAAAATAAGAGATTAAGGTCCACCATATATTTTTACATTTAACTTAGAGGTTTGTGAGCAAGTTGACAATAGTCACATCTATAATCCACACTTGTTTTCTGGATAACAATGACATTTAATTTTCTGGCGCTGATGAAAGATGCATTCTATCGCAAAAAATTGATGGTGGTGATGATACTGCTGATGTTGACAATGATGATAATTGTCATCATCATGCTGCTTAATGCCAGGAAAGCTTCTGCGTCTCAATACATTTTTTTAGGAGGTTCCTTCATTGGGAGGTTGGGCAAATCATTTTTAAAGAGTGTCTTGCACATAAGAAAATACATCAGTACCCAAATAAATCCACGTATGTGATAATATTCAAAGCCCCCACATAGATCTGTTTACATACTTGTAGCTTTTCCTCCCTCCACCTGCCGCATTTCAACACAGATAACATGTATTTAACTCTACTGTACGCGATATGGTAGGTAAAACGACAGTTACATCAAGGTCTGTCATTTATATGCATGGTAAGCAAGAAATATTTTGATGACCCTTGTGATAGAAAATTATGAGGAATAACAGTTTTTGCTTCATCATTAGTCTATGTAGCACATACCAAATACTGTACTGTATTAAGAAAAGGACATGGCCCAAAAATGATGCGTATGCCACTTTCTATAACTGGATTATTGTGAAATAAAACCTTACTTTGAGATATTAACCATGGATTCTCTGACAGCACATGTCATGTTGAGGCAGTTTATATAAAAAAAATACAAGTAAACGTGGAAACCATTAAATTAATTAGTACATTACAGTTGGCCTTCCTGGCATGGGTTCTTTGCACTTTGCCTGATTTTCCCAAAGCAGTTTACATGTAAATTAACAAACGCCACATACTGTATCTAAAATGCATGTACTGTTCAGAATTTATGTAGTAATGCATGATTGAGCAATTTAAAAATGTCGAGGATCTTGCCTGAAAGTTAACACAAAACATGTCTCTTTATATTGGGTGCCTTTTCTACGACAGTGTATTTGTATAAACATAACATTTTCTCTTAAGGACTCAGCATATTTACGCGAATATTATTTACAGAAAACTTATATCTTTCATGAGCATTTTTGTTATTGGAAGTTGTGTTCCTTCTTATTCTTACACTGCTGATCATTTTTTATGTCATAATATATGATAGGGGAAATAATATAGTGGAAAAGGATCGGGTATACCATTATCATAACATTCCTGTTCATAAAAAGTAAAATGCCCCTTTCTCGTCTCATCGACAACATTCCCCATTCCTGCGCTGGGACCGGTCTCTTATAAGGCAATAACATTTTTTGTTCATCAATGTTCACTTTTCCAAGGCTGAAGGGAAGATTGACTGAGTATATCGCTGACAAGTATTTAAATGTGGTACTGTATGTCGCATATCCAACTCGCTGTGAACAGACGTACATGCGGATGTGTGAAATGGTCAGATATGTGCATACCAAGCCGAATGATCTAGGCCATGCCCAACTATGACACCGGGTGTGGGTGGTAAATGTCAAAGCAGATATGCAAATGATGTGACTTTGCACTCTACATAGTTTAATGTTACGTTTTTTTTACAATTCTAGTACAGTATAACATTATTATTCAAATAAGGTCAAGGTATCCAAGCAAACTCTAATGGCTGCAGTGTTTAATATTCCCGCTGCATTTTCAACACTGCGGCAAGCTTAGACACATCACTAAACAGTACCTATATTATCTGCTAAAGTGCAAATACTGCACACCTACCAATTAACAGTACAGTAGCAATACATATACAGGCAGCAGGTTCGTAATTTACTTTCCCTTGTTACAATAATATACTGTATATCAGTATGTCAATTATTTGACAGGGCAGCCTGAGTCTCATTAATGTTTTCAAGAGTGCAGCATTGGGATGTTTGGCCAGTTCAATGAATGTGTGTGTAGCCTTATGTGGGAGGAAATAGAACCCAGATACATGTATACTATTTCCAGTACAGAATATATTTGCTATGAGGGATTGTCATTATAATGCTGTGTATAAATGCAGTAGTGTTACCATGTTGTTTTTGTATTCGGCATTAGTGATACAAAATATATATTTATGCCAAATTAATGGCTTGTAAATCATCGTTAGCCATGGCCAAATCCACTGTTGGTTGAGTGCACACCGTCATCTTTTGCGATCCTGCTGTGTTTACAATCCACATAGCAGCTGAACATGAGCCGATTTCAGCGTTCTAACTCCTGGGTGGATGTACTCTCCGTACGCTTTCCATTAATTTATTCGCTATCACCACCGTCATCATTCTTGACTGCGCAAGTATTTTATTTTTCACACTTTTGCACAGATGCCTCGCATCGCGTACACAAACTCATGGGGACATGTGCTGTTAGCGAGAAGGGGGTAGAGGTTGCAAGCGTGACACGCCCGGCTGCCTTCGCCTTCCCCCCCCCCAGTTCATATGTTCTGACACACCACAGCAGGTACTCATTTAAGGCCGAGTCGTCCCAGGGGAAGCACAGGGCAAGTTTTAATACAACTTGCCACCGACGTGAACCGTGAATAAGCACTGCGGTGGCCGGGTTCCGAACGAGGTGCGCCAACTACTGCACCACCTCTCAACCACGTTTCGCACGGTTTGTAATAAAATAAAATTGTGCAAAAAGGTTGTGTTTACGTGTGTGTGTGTGATATACTACGTTGGCAATGGGGCGCAAATAATCACTAAAACTGACACATTTGCTAATAACACGGCCATAAAAGTAAACGAAACGGTATATGTACCTCGAATAAACGACGTTTCGGGCAATGTTGCTTCATAGCATGTCGATGGATCTCCATCAAGTGACAACTTGATCTCGTGAACCTGGATTTTCCGTTGTCACCTAAAGCCATCTCCACGTCACCCACGAGAAGTAACAACACTCACAATGGCCCCTTTCTTCGGTAGACAAAGGGCCCTTGCCCGAAACGTCGCCACCGGTACGTGTTCCTTTGAGACGGATGTGTGCGTGCGTGCGAGCGCCGCTACCTGTAGTTATTTACGTATTGTAAAGTATTCAGAGACGACTGATGGCCAACCACGGCGATGTATCGACGAACCAAAAGTGGCGATCTTTTAATTCGGCGCCAGAGAGAGACCAATTTCCCTCCCTTCCACGAGCGGACTTCACACGAAACAAACGCGGCACGCGCCGCCCGCGTTAACTAATGCTGCGCGAGGACAATAAGCATTCGTTTGAATAGCTTAGTCTAAATGAAAAGGGCCGATTTGTGGTTAATTGATAATATAATCGATCGCGACTACTCGACGACTAGGCAAAGCGGCGACGTTGACGGCCAATTGTAAATCGTAGTGCGCTTAGGGCGGCCCCGCCACTGCTTTCGCGCGTCGGCGAATCAGAGGCGCCGCTGTCGCGGGCTTGGCGCCGCCCTGTCGTTGGCGTCGAGCCAATGGGGCGAGGGAATGCGGTGTGGCGCTTGTGCGTGCTGGGAATTATAAACGGGGCTTGAGGTAAATTGTGTTTATAGTTCGCGTGAAGTTTATTTTTCATTTCCCAACTTTTAATTGAAAACTCGGTGAGTTAAGTAATTGCTTGTGAATGGCACAGAAGGGATTGATGACCACGGGCTGATGGACCTAGTGAAAAAAACAGTATTGTATGTTAAGCTTCTTTCGCACAGTACGTAGCCAATGGTGCTTAATCGGAGGTGTTTACGTGTCACCGGTTAAAGACTAACGAGCACTTTTAGACAAGCGACTAACTTACGGTGGATAGTTTTTTTTTTAGTGTGTTGAGAAATTGAGATGCATCTGTATGTTAGACGCTATGTAAATGTAACGTTACGCTGTTTATTACCTCGTATCCTCCTCGGCACAAGGTACCGGCAACGAAACGGCTCGATCCCCCGTGTGAATCGACACAGATGTTAAATAGCTAATAACAGATGTTAAATAGCTAATAACACGGCCTTTTATTATACCGTGCTGGAATCGTGCGGTTGGATAGGAGGACAAGTGGGGCTTTTGAGTCGCGCTCTTTGTTCGGCAAAATGCAACTCGCGACAAATGTTGACGTGTATTACCACCCTGCAAAAAGTACTCGTAAACGAGGCTTGAACGAACAGCTGCGTTTAAACCTCAAAGCAGCCTGCAATGTTAGAAAACAACCGAGTGGAGCGAAACGCACACACAAAAAAAACTCCGCCCCTCATTCGCCGTCAATGCAATTCTTAGAAAGTGTAAAAAAAGGAGACGGAGCAACGCGGAACCAAATTGACGGTGGCGCTCGCGGTTTGTTTCCCCTCTCGTGACGGCGGTGGTGTGTGGGGGGGACCCGCTGGGCCAGGGACCTGTTCCCCGAAGACGCCCGTGAACAACTACATCCGGCTCGCCGCTCATAAATATCCAACATTTTTAACTCTCAAAATCACGAATATTTAAATGTTAGTAATTAATATTCATGTTGGGAGGGGGGGGAGGAGCGTATATTCACGTGGGTGGGAGGAGCGTATCTAGGCCAACGGCGCGTGCGATGGGGCTTTGGTTGTGGGGGGGGTGGGTGGGGCGTGAGCTGCGAGTAAAGCGGCCGCGTGGGGGGTTGGGTTGCGGTGTGAGTAGGCGGGGTTTAACCGCGACGTGGGCGTGTCCTGAGGAAGGCTGACCAATGGGAGGGCGACTCGCGGGGGGAGGGGAGGAGGAGTGGGGTGGCGCGCGAGCGAGTCGCCTGGCGCACGCGGCCCCCGTGGTCGTCAGTCGCGAGCGGCGTGCGCGCGCGCCTGGCCGTCCTTGGTCCCACCGGGGCGCGTGCGGCAGATTTTTTTGTTTGTTTCAAAACGAAGCGCCCCCCCCCCCCTCGCTTACACCCACCACCAGACAAACAAACAATAAACAACAATTACGACCGATTTTTGCACGGAAGGGACCGAGGCGAGAGAACGTTGCAAAAAACAATTGCCGCTGCTGAAAAGATAAATAGGAATTTGAAACGGCGTTTACCAAAATCGCGAGGAGAACAATTGCAGCGGCGACGCCGCGAGTGAAGAAGGCGCTTTGTGTTGAAATCTGCACGCGGTTGCGGGAAGGGGGGGGGGCAGACGACGACTCCGTTAAGCCACAAAGCTGCCGTCGCTACTACTACTGCTACTGCCGTTCGAGGTTGTTTATTTGTAATTGTTTTTTTGTCATTTCAATTTTTTTTTCTTCCCGTTTTCAGTCATTTGAATTCGATTTTACAAACGATTGTGGATCGGAAACCCGCTGGGCACTACAATCGGTCTTACAGGGACGGCCAAAGTGCACGGCTGCCCGGGCAGGAGGGAAAGGCCAGCAGCAGCAGCAGCCTCTGTGGGGGTCCAAGCCCCCCTGCTGCTGCTTCCAGCTGCTTCAGCCTCGTGGTGCTGACTGCCCCTGCTGCCAACTGCTGCCGTCAGCTGCTGCTACCTAGTGGTGTGCTCAGTGGTGCCTGCTGCTGTTGCCTGGTGGGTTCCAGGGTGGTCCCTGGTGCCGCTGTTGCTCCTTGCTGCTGGTTCCTCCGCGGACCATGATGTCGCAGGGCCCCCAGAGGACACGCCGAGGCGGCGTGGTGGCCCCAGCCGGTGGCTCCTGCTCGCCCACCCCGCCAGGCGCGGGAGGCCCGAGCCGGCCGCAGCCGCTGCGAGCCACGGTGCCCTTCCAGCTGAAGCACGGCTCGCCGACCCGCGGCACCGCGCACCCCTCCTCGACGGCGCCCGCTGCGTCGTCGTCGTCGTCCTCCGCCTCCTCGCCCGCAGCTTCGGCTCCGTCCCCGGCTCAGCCCCAGCCTCCTCCGTCCCCCGCACTGTCTCCGGCTGCCTCCGTGGCGGCGGCGGCGTCGCCGACCCCCCCCTCAGGGTCGGCTTCCTTGGCGTGGGGGGCCGCCGAGCATGGGCGGCTGAGGCCCCGGCGTTCGCCAGAGCACAGGGACTCCCCCGAGAGGCGCAGTCCCAGCTCTCCCGTGTGTAAAGGTAGGAGGCTGGCGAGGAGCGGCGGTGGGGCGGGTTGGAAGTGTATTCGTGTCGCTCGGCGCGCCACCGCCGCCACCCCCTCACATGCTCCCCACCAGCAACTTGCACAAACGTAAGCAGCATCACCCGCAAGCCCAGACAGGACAGACACTTTGGCCCGCGTGTGTGTGTTGGGGAGGAGGGGTGGGGAAAGAGCTTTGTAGCACATCGGATTCCGCCAAGTATAAATATGCTGAGGACATAGCACCACCAACTTATATCATCGACCCGCCAGCCGGCTCCAACTCTTATCTCTATCGACCACTACCAACCACTAAACGAACCCACACACTACCACCTCCTCGACTCACAAAAAAACCACGAATTCCATCGACTCCACGCAACAAGCACAACCATAAACAATCGCCCCCCAAACCGCAACCCTTCGCAACGCCGCCCCCAAACCCAACAATCCCATTTACCAACCACAAACCCAAACGCGAGCATAAACAAAACCAGCACCGACGGCTGTCGCCGCTACTTGCTCCCGCGTGTAAGTGTTTGGTGTGAAAGATATACTCTACTGTATACACACACACGTGTGTGTTACAAACACACACGTGTGTAAGGGGGAAAAAAAACCCCACACCAAATGTGGTTGTTTTATAGACGTTGCGCGCACAGGCTGTAAACACCCTAGGTATTGCATAGTATACGCATTTACTGTGTGTGTAGTCGTGCATGGTGAAAGTTAATTTAAACGCGTGCACAACTCGGCATTCGTTCATGCACACACACTTTAAGAGGCGGGCGTACGTGGCACTGATGAATAACGTGTGCACATAACGGAAATGCTGCCCTGCATTGGGGATAGTGTGCATGCGTAATGCACACACAGCACGTACCACTGGCGGATGCCCGCCCGCGCCAGACGTACGTGCACTACAGTATTGCGTGTAACACGAACACCTCTACATGCATACAGAGACAAAGACCCCCATCCCGTGTAGCCTTAACAGACTTTTGGGGCAAGTGTTAGCGAGTAGCAAGCATCTATTAATGGCCGGCATGGCACACGAGGGCGGTGGGTGGTCAGAACCACTCCCGGGCCGCCTTTGTCTCCCCGTGTGGCGATGTTTACACGTCGCACAAGGTACTCGTTTGTGGCCGAGTCGACCTAGGGGAGGCCCATGACCGGTTCAGATAATCGTCACTGACGTTCGGTGGCCGTGAGCAGGAATCGAACTCAGGTGGTCGGGTTCGTAGCGCAGCGGGGATAATCGCTACACGACCCGTACGCATATACACCACCACATGGTAACACGAACATGCACATGCCTGCATGTACACGCGTTAAAAACCTGGAGTTGTCGGGGGGGGGGGTAGTAGAGGGGGTCTCCATCGCGTTCCCGTCCCCCCATAGTGCCCATTGCCGGCAGCGTGAGCAGCTGGCTCTGGGCCCAGGTTGCCCAGGTGTTTAAGAGGAGGAAGGGGGGCCTGCTGGGGTCGGGAATGGGGGTTGTTGCTATTTGCTCGGGGGGGGGGGGTTTGGTCGAGGCGACGACGTGCTTTGGGTTCGGTGCTGTTTTTGGATGGGGGGGTTTGGTGGTGTTGGGGCTGTTGCTGAATGAATGAAGACGTGTAGGTTAAATGGGCACTCCGTGTTATCTCTGAAACTGAGCCTTGCCAATTAGGACCGTCGTGCATTTGTGTGTGCGTGCGCGCGTTCTTCACTGGCGTGGTGCTGGCCACCCACCCCCTCGTGCGGCGTGCCGGCATTCACAGGTGCTCACTAACAAGCACTTGCCCCAAACAGCCTGTGTAGGCTATACGGGGGGTGGGGGTTCTTTGTATTTATCTTCTTCACATGTCCCTACCGTGCAGCCCCAGCATTGGAAGCCAAAAGGGCTCTGCTTTTGTTTCGCCTAAGCCCCCCCTCCCCCCTTTTTCTTAAAACGCTCCTCGGCCTAACACAGTAAAACCTTGTATTGCGAGAAACTCGGTCTGCGAGTGTTTTGCAAGACGAGCTATTTTTTTTAAATAAATATTAATGTGATAAATGCGCGAGGTCTTGCAATACGAGTAGTACGTATACGCTTTGTCTGCCGAGCGGTCACGTGATCACAACTGATATACGAGTGATATTCTTAGCTCTTTCGGTAAAGTCACGTTATTTTATTGTTTCCCTTCAACGTGACTTTACCGAAAGAGCTAAGAATATGAATTTGCTGCAGTCACGAAAGCTTTAAATCAAAATTTGATATACGAGTGCTTTGATATACGAGTGCTTTGAATTACAAACACGTTTCCGGAACGAATTGTGCTCGCAATCCAAGGTTTTGTTTTACTGTATAGCACTTGGAGACTGCTGCTTCGACTGTCGTTGCGTTCTGCTTCGCCTTTCGATCTCACGCATTGTTTTCGTTACCTGCCCCCAACCGCAATGTTTTACCCGCAGCATGTTGTGTAGGCAAGCGGGCTCCTTGTGAAACCTATTGCAATAGTTGTTGTTGGGTTCCACGAAAGATCGCATCGTACAAATCAATGGGTGAAGAAGAACGTCTGTGCAGTGTAGTTCACTGTATATATGCAGCACACGCAGAAATGTGTGTTCCACTCGGTTTTCGGGCAAATAATTAACAGCTCTTAACTGTTGATTGAAGGCGGCCTCATATCATAGGGGTTGTTTGACCATATTTTACCACACTGGTCAGTACGGTACAGGTTGGTGAAGTTGGGGGTCTGCTGTTTTAAGATATCACTCCGCAATTTAAAATCAGCCGCGGCGGCGGCGGACGTGTCCACCACTGCACCACCACTCGACCCTTGTGCAGTATTTTTTTTTTTAATAGCAGCGTGGTTTATTTCAGCCAGGTGATAGGCCTCCAAATTCTGCAAGTTGCTTGCCTTTTTCTGTAGCTTGTCACTTTTTGTGAGGGCGTCTTTCAATCTGCCCTACTAGTATGTGTGAGTGGCACCGTGACATTACTGTAATCTGTTGGCACGGTGACGTGCAAGTAAACAAGCGGATTAAACAAGAGGCAAAAAAGATACCTCGCATTCCATGCAGCAAAAGCAAAGCAGCATTTTATTTTCAGAAGGAAGGAACTCCAAGCACAGCCCCCCCCCCCCCCCCTGTGAGTGATTGCAATCAGCTGCAAACCATCAGTGTTGGTGTGTGTGTGTTAATGCGAGCTGTGGATATTGCAAAATTGCTGCAAGCGTTGTGGTGGTGGGGTGGGTGCAAGTTCATCTGCAGTGGACGGCTGCCAAATCGTGAAAGGGGGTTTGCTTAACGTGTGCCCTTGCCGAGTTGTCTTTAACAGGAGGAGTTGATGACAAAATGTCACGTGAAACGAAGTTACTTTTTATATTCTTGATTCTTTCGGTAAAGTCACGTAGAAGGGAAACAATAAAATAATAAAAATATAAAACAATAAAATTCTCACGACGTTTCGACTGCAACGCAAGCAATCATCATCAGGTGTGAAAACCACAGCAAGAAAATTTCAAGCTTTAAATCAGAAGTTACTTTTCTTATACCCAGGAGTTTTCAACAAACATATAATTTGGGTACACGTATTTTTGGGGTGTTTTTTATCAATTGTAAAAAAAAAGTTGACCAAGTTATCAAAGTAGTGATCCTTGCTATTAAAACATCAAATATTTTTTTCCTACCTAGACTGTTAAATATATTAGTATTTTTACTCTGTTATTACAATCTCTAATTGCACACGTGTTTGGAATGTTGCATTGAAGAGTGCGATCTTAATTGATCTGCTAAATCTTTAACGTCTGCATCTTTGAGAGGGGATTTGCTTTTGACTCGGGACAGGAGAAGCAGTGAAGTCTCATCTTACCGACTGTAATGCAGTATAAATACTGTATACATGTCCAAGCTGGACTATAACATGAGTATATAACATTTCTGTCAACTAAATAAAAGCAATTGGGTGCTATAAAGCAAATAACAGTTGCCATTAATAGTCCAATGTGTTTAAATTGTGTTTAAATTTGCAAAAAATATATATCATGTTAAGTTGGGGAAACCTACATTTGCTGCAATTTATACAGCATGTTTTGCTAAAGTGCATTCCTTCCTCCATTGTCGTGTGAAAGCAAATGGCCCCATGTTTAAAGGAGTCACAACACACCATCTTTAAACAATTGATGTATTGAGTGAAGTAACAGTTGGAAGTGCGCGAATTTTCCCTCGGGCAGGGAGTACCCGCAGATGAAAGTTGCTGAGGAGTGTTAGCCTGCTGCTACTACTCCTGCTGGGGCCAAGGCTTTTGTGGTATCCTGGAAGCCATTTTGCTTCCAACATCAATGATTCATGCAAATAATTTGGATTATAGCACGAAGAATATGGGACATCTAAAACTATATTCCAGTAGTCACATTGTTCTGTTTTCACTAATGGTTGCCGTATCTATTTTTTGTAAAAAAAAAGTTTCCATTTGATATGCCGAGTACAATAACATTTACATCCACGTTAAAATGCATCGGGGTCATGATTGCATAGTCATGTGTGTGATTAGATGTTCTAGGCCTGTTTTTTTTTTAGAATATATACAAATAATACGGTGCAGTTTATTTGGTATGAGAAATGTAATGAAGGAATTGTATATTGTGGCCTATTGCCCCTCTTGTAGAGAAAGTGCAGCCTGTCATTGTTAGTCACCTGCAGGGAACTGCATGTGGTAATGTGATCATATTTTGTCATAAAGTTATATTAGCACTTGGCTTTATTTCGGCAGTTTTATTGCAGAATTGGGGGGTGGAGTAGTAGCACAGTGGTTAGTGCCTTGTGCTATGAATGCAGCGACCTCAGTTTAAATTCCCGGCCACAGCTGACATGAGTGGCAACTGATATCTTAACCTGTCCTGTGCCGCCCCCTTTACCAACCCGCCCTGACCAGCATGGTGAAGTTTGATCAACCCACACCCATGTTCAAAGGCTATGGGAAGGCCTTCATCCAGCAATGGATTAATGAAGAGCTGTACATTACATGGCAGGGCTTATTTTTAATTGTGCAAAACTGTGATGAGAATAAAAGAAAAATGGAAATTCAATACCTTTCAAGTGTTTTTTTTTAATGCAAGTGCCGCAATACATTCGATAGAACACCACATTATAATGCGTTCCAATTTGTATTTTCTTTTTACAGTTGAAAAAAACAAGTTTCAGCACACGCCTTCGCACATTCGACGTACATCCTCACTGGACACCATCACAGGTCCCTACCTCACAGGACAGTGGCCACGTGAGCTGCCTGGAAGGGGGTCCCCTTGCATGCGCGACAAGTCCACACAGGTGAGTCCCCATCGCCTGCCAGCCGTCACGCTCCCCACTCTCCCAACTCCTCAAAGCTTTTTTAGCACCTTTAAGATCTTTGAAGATCTTTTAAGACCGTGTATATTGAGAGCAAATCCAAAAATGGTGGAATTGCAGAATTTTACTATTTTTTTTGTCAGTTTCATTTACGTTTGTAGACTTTGAAAAGTTATTTTTATGGCTGCATTATGACAACTCTATTTTTAAGGGGTCGAAAAGTTACTGATTTTCTGTGCCTTCGAAATAGTTCTTCCTTGGATACTTCCCATGCTTTCAGAAAAAACTAAAACATTTTTTACAGGAATCACTATGAAGTCTGCTCCACAGCATACCAAAAGCATTGGCATGTTTGGGCAAGATTGTCAACAAAATACGAATAAAGAAATCAGTTTGAAAAAAACTTAAGGTTCTGGTGGGTGCCAACATGATTAGTGTGCATGCATGCAACGCATGCTTGTGGCTATAAGCACATGTGCATGTGGGGTAAGCTTATTTGCCGAGCCAACAGAGCACAATACATCTTCTGCCCGGAATGCAGTTTTGTAATCACTTACTTTTAACACGATGCAATATTTCAGTTTTTATATGCATGTGTGTGTCTAGGGAATTATCCCCTTCTCACATCGCTGATTCCAGCAATGTCCCAGTGTAATTATTAAAAAAAAGGTTTGATTCCTTCATATAAAGTCCACACTTCATACAGTATGTAGCAATGGTGAAATCAAGAAGGCGTTCTGTTCCTTACCTTGTTTTTCCTCACAAATTGCTAGAACTGTCTTCTTTGGTTCTTTCGGTAAAGTCACGTAGAATGAGAATAAAATAATAATTTGATAAAATAAAGTAACAATAATATTGTCTGGTAGGACAGTCTCGTCCCTTCACCTGATGAAGGCCGCTTGTGTTGTGGCCGAAACGTCGTGAGAATATTAATGTGTTATTTTATTTTATCAATTTATTATTTTATTCTCATTCTACGTGACTTTACCGAAAGAACCAAAGAAGATGAATCATTGCAGTCACGAAAGCTTTAAATCGAAATTTGCTTGAACTGCTTGTGGTAAATGGTCACGGGTGACGACTGACTGGCTGTAAAAGGGATGGAACCTGTTCGAGAGGACATCTGCTGAGGAGGCGGAGCGATTCGTCTTTCGTATGGCAGACGTAAAAGGTGGTCAAGCCAGACGACCACTTCAGGAGCAGCGGAGTGCATCGCTGTGATGTCTCCTTCATATTTGTGGATCGGGGCATTGCATCGTTTTATGCTGTATGGGTCTGTTGTAGATGACCACAGTCGTGCGCAGGATAATTTTTCATTTGTGCATCAGGTATTCGCATCTGCCATGGTTTGTGCCGATGCGGTTTAGGGGGGGGGACCATGAGTTTCATTGAAGATCAAAACCAGAGATCTTCTGTGTTAGGTTCTTTCCCAAGGTATTTTGTGAGTTCTTTTGAACTCCATTCAGATTTCCATGCTTCATCGGGGTTGAATTGGTATTGTGTAAGGTTAGGCGTATGGGTCCAAAAGGAGATCAGCTGATGTACAGATGCTGGATGTATTATTTCATCACAGGATCGTGAGAGATGGCGGTGGCTTGGGAAGCTTTCATCCAGGGAAAAATGTATCATGGCTGGTGATGCATGTGTGTGGCTCTGTGTATTTGCATGGCGAGTGGTGGCACAGTGGTTAGCTCGCTGCGCTACAAACCCGGCGACCCGAGTTTGATACCCCAACAGCGCTGACGGTTATCTTAACTGGTTCTGGGTCTTCCCTTGGTCGACTCGGCCTCATGAGGACCTGTGTGCGATGTGAAAACATCTCCAATGGGGAGACAAACGCGTGGTGCCGGCCACCCACCCCCTTGTGTGCCGTGCTGGTCTTCATAGGTGCTACTTGCTTAACAGCACTTGCTCCAACAGCCTGTCAAGGCTGTAAGGGGGATCTTTGTTTTTGTTTACATGTATCTGCACGCAGGTATTTGTGCTATTGACGTCGCTTGTTACAGTTTATGAACATCTCGCAAAATTGTTCATGTATCATGTACAAAGTTATTCGGATAGTAGGATAGAGCCTTGGAATCCCCCAACAAAATTGAGGCTTTCCTTAATTAACTGTTACCAGATACTTGGTTTCAGTTTTATTTACTCAAGTTGGACTACGTTCTGAATGGGGTGCTTTTATTTTGAAAATGTAACCTTTGCAAATAACAAGCAGTCAATATTTCTTCTGAACCTTATTTGAGAATGAGTCTACTGACTCATGTTTGCAATGATCATTGTATCAGGTGTCATGCTTGTAAGCGTCACCTTCACATGTAAAATACTTTAATACCTGGATGGTTGTAAAGGTCAATACCGAGGAACAGTATTAAGGCCCTGAACCCAATTGCTCAAGTGCAGAGCATTGGTGCGGTGTGAAAGAAGTTCAACATACATGCAGTGCACGTGACTACAATGGCCAGTCTCTGACAAGTATCTTGAAAGCATCGTCTTAGCTTAATACAAGGCTGCATTACATTTCGTTAGAAAACCATTTTACAAACAAGTGGAAATGTTGTTTTCAGTTGCTTCACAAATACATTTCTGGTGGTGTTTACAGATTATATTTACAAGTCACCACAACATGTGAAGCTTTGTCAAGACCTCATTTTACACAAAACATTCCTATCAGGTTCACATATCCACATTTACAATTAGCATGTTAATAGCCATTTTGTATATATTTCCCGAGTAATTAGTAATGCACTCATTACTTTTTGTTAATGGACCAGTGCACTTTTTTCATTTTGTTGCGGGGCTCCATATTAAGCCATTTTAAGTGAATTTGTATTTTTATTGTTGTTAGCTTGTGTTAGCTTTTGCATGGTTATATATACGTGTACATATTTCTCAATCCCTATCTCTTCCAAACAACAATTCCCACCTGCACAATTTTGGAATCGAATTGCGAGCTATTGAGGTTTTCTGCAACGCTATCATTTTAAATGCTAAAATGTTTGCAGTTTGACCTAACATGTCTCAATAAATTTCCTTCAATTGAAACGATATGACTGTGGTCGCACATGATCACGGTTGTAATCCATTGCGGTGCCCTGTTAAATAGCGTTAAAAAATAAAATTATATTTGTGATCACTACTACTTGAATGTTTATACAGTAATTCAATGTGCACACCAATGTGTTAACCACTTCACTCGCTCTCTATCTGTTGTAGCATTTATCATTGTCATGAACAGTAATTACAGTATAACTGTAGTAAGTCATTTGCGAGTGTAGTTGTGATTGGTATAATTATTTTTCGTAAATTACGGTTACAATGTTGACGCAGTCGTTAATTGGTATGAGTGGTTTTAATTAGAAATGAGCGGTCCAATTACTTAAGTAATCGGTTACTTTCCCGATTATTGGCTCGATTCTTCAACTGCTTTGATAACATGAAAATAGTTGGGTTTAAAAAAAATTGTCACCTGTTCCCGCCCCCCCCTCATATGTGTGCCACTGGTTGGGAGGTGATAGATGGGGGCCTTGATAATGTCTTGGACATTATCAGCCGCATGTGGCTTCTCAGGGTTTTTTTTCCTGCCTCCGGGAGTAATAGATAACAAAATAAGGAGTGGGTTATAATTTTTAGTTGATTAATCATTGACTACTCGTTCGAGCTCTGCCATTACTGTAATAAACTATAGTATATCTGCATTTGTTAATTGCTATAATAGTTTTAATAGTAATAATAATTATATTGTGCTCGTTATTACTGTATTAAATTGAGATTACAGCAGTTAATTGTGATAGCAAGTAAATAATAACGTTGACAACTTGATTAAGACGAAGAAAATAAATATGGTCACAAACCTTTTATTATGAAAACTGTTGGTCTCTACAAGTTTCTAAATTCACACCACAATGCTCATGATCAGCATTGCAGTTAATTGCCGTTGTAATAATGATTTATTTTTGATAGGTTACCCCTCGAAGCGCTCGACACGTGATAAGTGACTTTAAACTTATCTTAAATATTTTAAAGGGCACTGCAATGGCAACCATCTCTTTGCTGCACAAGGTTATGCAGCACCTGGCCTCTGAGCAGGCATTAATTTTACAGTAGGAGGTGTTAATTGCGATGTGCAATTTTAATAGAGTAATTTGTGGGTAATTATCGATCTGTAACAAAATTATGATCATGATGACGGCACACAATGACCAACTAATTTCAAGTGATATCAGGGGATAAACGGCACATTTTTTCGTTAATACACCCACAGTAAAAAACAGGATGGCCTGCTGGATTTGAACCATGGCCCTCTGCTTGTACATGTGACCACAATTTAAGCTGCTGTATGGAAACAATGGGCATATTGATTTTTATAGAGAAAAGGCAGTCGGTCATAGGCAGGGTGTAACTACATAGTCTCAAGCTAGGACTTAAGCTGGGGCACCGAGTCGACACCACACATCACATCACGGGTGGTCTGAGTTCCAGACCCTTGGGGCAGCAAAGGGAAATGAACAAACTCCCACTGAACGAATGTTGACTTGGAGAATCAACACAAAGCCTTGATTTCTGGAGTAGAGAGGGCATGTAGGAGAATTTAGTGAGATGAGAGGGGAGAGATTGGTAGGGGCGAGTCCATGGAGGATCTTGATGGGATTGTGGTGATGAGTCTGGTATTGGCATTTTAGACCATCTGGAGCATGGAGATCATGAGATATTTGTGGATGCTATAGAGAGTTGCAATAGTTTATTCTGGATGTGATGAATGCGACAGTAATGCGACGAATAATCTATATTTTTACAATAGCTATTGGCAGCCACTGCATTTTAATAACTGCGTCACACAAAGTGTCCCAAGTCAACTTTAAAGCGACATTGAACATTATGATCGGGTGGAAAACGCCCCAAACCATCCTGTGGTGTAGCTGCCTTGTTACAACTATAAACGTGGCAAAATGTTTACTAATTGTGTTGTTCATGCAGTCTTGTGA